CTGCTGTATAAACCAGCCCGTGGGTCTGAACACGAGTCAGTCATTGGATCAGAGGGGGGGGTTTTTTTATCTTATACAGATGATACATTGTACCAGGGAGTACCATGTGGATTATTTTCAAATATAATGAAAGTTTCCTCCTTATCTCTAGGTGTACGTTGTGTAATTTGACCTGTTCAGTCAGAAACCACAGCCTGATTTTTTTTGTGTCTGCTCCAGTTTGCAGTAATGAGTGAAGAGAAAACCAAGTGGAAGGAGTTTTTGGAGACACTGAGTGCTCTTCAGTGGCTCCTGACCTTCCTGTTCCTGGGTAAGAGCGCTACCACCGCGTGAAGTGTGTGTGTGTTTATTTACCGCTAACACACCGTGACACCGGTGCTGTGGTTCCTGTCGTCCCCCAGGTCTGACATGTTACGTCCTCATGCTGTGCCTCATGTTCACCCGCCTGTGGCCGCTGGCTGCGCTCTACTTCATCTGGCTGGTGACGGACTGGCAAACTCCTGAAAGAGGTAAAGGAAGTGACATCATTATGTGACATAATGTGATTGTTTTGTTTTTAAGTTGAAGGAGAAAATAATTGAACTCCTTGAGAAGGTCAGAGGTCATTAAAACAAACAACCTCTGGTTGACATTTGAAGCGTTTATTCATGACCACAGACGGGGTTGAAACTGTCGGTAATTTTATAAATGTCACTGTGTCACCTTCACGTGTTTGAAATAAAAACATGGAAACATGAACATGTGTGTTATTTCAACAGATTAGTGCAAAACATTAACATGACATTCAGTAGAGGGGACGGAAAATAAATATAAAAATAATAATAATCATTTTAAGTTAGTAATAATATTATTAACAATAATACTGCATAAACACACACTGAAGGTAATTCCAGGAATACTACAACTGCATAGTAAAATGTGTAACGCAGTAATGAAGTATAAACCCCCCGGGGGCACATTCAGTAGTTCTTAAACGTCTCCTACAGGTGGCAGAAGAACGACGTTTGTCCGACAGTGGAGAGTGTGGCAGCATCTCAGAGACTATTTCCCCGTTAAAGTAAGTTTCCCGTTGGCTCCTCCATCACCGACACTGGTCTGTACCAGAGGTCTGTACCAGAGGTCTGTACCAGAGGTCTGTACCAGAGGTCTGTACCAGAGGTCTGTACCAGAGGTCTGTACCAGAGGTCTGTACCATCTGTACCAGAGNNNNCTGTACCAGAGGTCTGTACCAGAGGTCTGTACCAGAGGTCTGTACCAGAGGACGACGTGAGCGTGAACATCCTGCAGCTGGTTCACGGACAGGAAGATTCATTTTCAAAACAGATCCAACATCCTGTCAGATTTAAAGACCAGGAAGTGGACGTTGTTGTTGTCATTGTTGTTGTTGTTTACACATCCCTGTGGTCATGTGGTGCAGCTGCTGAAGACGGCAGAGCTAAGTCCAAAGAAGAACTACATCCTGGGCTGTCATCCACACGGCATCATGAGCGCCGGAGCCTTCACCTGCTTCGGCACAGACAGCTGTGGCTTCTCGGAGCTCTTCCCTGGACTCAGACCCTGCCTGGCCATCCTGGCCGGACTCTTCAGGATACCCTTCTTCAGGGACTACATCATGAGCGCAGGTAAGAGCAGAACTCTGCACGACCAGGACTGAGAGAGACCGAGGGGGAGGTTCTGCCCCAAGAGCACCAGAACTTTAGACCTTTGCCCTTACGCCCCAACATGTCAGTAATATATTCTAGTGTAGAATACCTTACGCCCCAACATCTATGTCAGTAATATATTCTAGTGTAGAATTAGTACTGTTACATAAATATATAAATACAATAACATACATGCATAAACAGACATACATACAAATATTTACTCAGAGAGACATATACAGCACAGACATACAACCAAACACACCACAATATATACAAACACGAACATACATATATAAATATATGTACATATATATTTACATGTGTACAAGTATAAATATATGTACATATATAATTATATGTGCATGTATAAATATATGTACTGTATTACATATACAAATATATATGTTCATGTATATTTATATATGTACATATATATTTATATGTGCATGTATAAATATATGTACATATATATATTCACAGCTAAAAGCTATTTATGAAACATTTTGTTGAAAGTCGGCTTCTTTAAGACGTTATCAACGATCACACATTAGTGTCGGTGTAAGACGTAAACACCTCCGCGCTCCAAACCAGAGAGCGGGTCAAAGGTCACTGTAGCCTATGGTTATCACAGCTCCAATCATGTTTTTATCATTTTCCTCCGGCCTTTGAACAGAACCACAGTCTGAAGGTGAAGTCAAACACTCACTCTGTCCCGACAGGCCTCTACCCCGTCAGCAAACCCAGCCTGGCCCACCTCCTGTCCAAGAGCGGGAAAGGCAACGCCGTGGTGATCGTGATAGGGGGCGCTGCCGAGTCGCTGGCATCCTCCCCTGGAGTCAACGCAGTGGTGGTGAAGCAGAGGAAAGGTTTTGTCAGGGTGGCTCTGGAGTTTGGGTGAGTGGACGCTGTAACACACACACACACATGAACACACACAGTTAGCAGGACACTGCTGGACACACTGATCTGGTTTGTTGTGCTCCTCCTCCTCCTCGTCCTCCTCCAGGGCTGACCTGGTGCCTGTTTACTCCTTCGGGGAGAACGAGCTCTTCAGGCAGGTGATTTTCTCCGAGGGCAGCTTCAGCCGTCGGTGTCAGGACCTGTTTAAAAACATCATGGGATTCGCTCCCTGTTTGTTTGTTGGTGGGAAGTTTGGCGTCCTGCCCTACAGGACTCCAGTCACCACAGTGGGTGAGTGTTGTTATTACCATGATTACAGTGAGGACTCAGGACACAGAGGTGAGGAGACGCCCCACTGGTTCAATCACAAATCAACTCAGACAACAAAAAATATATATATATCATATACAACACATACTGTAGATGGATGGTACCTGAGGGTTGATTCATTTATGTCATGAGGAAACATTTATAGACCTTGGTGGGAAAACAACAAGTGAATACACAGAGTAAGAAGTGTGTGAAAATATGATAGAATAAAATATTATTATATAAAGTTTGACCTGCAACTTTGTCCCAGATTTTAATTTTGGCCAACTGTGAATGTGAGTTTGACACCGCTGTCCTATAGGAACGTGGGAAAATAAATAAATAAACAATATTCTTTTCTTTTTTTTTGCGCACCAGAAAATTATAAATGTGAAGTTTAGCAGAGGGTTTAACCCCCCAAAAACACACATATCACAGATTCAAACTCAGAGTACGACATATCCCCCAAAGAAAACACACATACCACAGATTCAAACTCAGAGTACGACATAATGTTGTAACAATGTTACTTATAGAATACTGTATACTTCACTGGAATATTTGATGAGATAAATAATAATAAAAAAAATCATCTGTGACCCACATCCCTTCAGTCCATTTACCCGTGGCTCTCTTGGTTCTTTCAGTTGGAAGTCCCATCTCCGTGCCGAAGATCGTGTCCCCCACGGAGGAGGAGGTGGACCACTACCACGGGCTCTACATGGAGGCTCTGTCGCAGCTCTTTCATCGACACAAGGTCGTCTGTGGACTCTCTGAGAACCACAAGCTGCAGTTGATTTAGACATTTCTCTTCCACAACTGAAAGACAGAGCGGACGTTGACTTTTGTTTCAGGCTGATCTGAGATCTGAGCTCCTGTCAGGACAAAACACCACAGATCAGACCGTCACAGTACAGTTATCACAAGGTTTTTTTTGTATTTATACCATAACATCTCCCTGAATCCACGAGTTTAGTGTTAAACATTACACCCTGACTTTAACATAATCCCTTCAGCTGTGACTTAGCTGGAAACAGCACCATGCATGAATATATTTTTATAAAACATAATAAAAAAAATAATAATTACTTTTCACCGTTACCAATAGAAATTTCTATTGGAAATTCACATCCAGTACAATATCGTCAAAGAATTCCCTTACTTACCCACCTGAGGGCGACAAAGTTACCCTTTCCAAACTGCGGCAAGATTTCACAGGATTTTCATTAAATGTGAACCCGTTTTTGAAGTGCATTCATAATTTAACTTAAATTTAATTTATTACTTAATTAGATTTACACATGAATCTAATTAAGTTAATAAATTAATGAACATTTTGGCAGAAAAGTACAACTTTAAAATAAACAAAAACATAAAATATACCCTAATTTGGTTTTAACCGTCAGTGTGGTTGAATGATGACTTTATTTGGAGAAACTGTTAAGAAGCAGATTACAGCAGAATCTTACAAATCACATGAGAAAAGAAAACAAAAAATCAGGCAGTGGAGCAGAACACAGCGAGTGTTGAAAAAAAAAAAAAAAAGTCAACATAAAACTCCAAGCCTCTAAAAGAAATCCATGTCATCTGGAGCGTCCAGGTCACGATATTCAATCACGTGGCGTGGGTCTCCCCTGGACATTCTTAGGAGGCAGAAATGTGAGGAGGAAGAAACCAACACCAGGGGTGGGGGTGCAAGAGAGCACAGAAATGTTTAACAAGTCAAATCTAGCTTTTCTCCATCACTGAGAATTACACCGACTTCGTAACGGGATAAAGGTCACACGTACAGTCTCACCTGAGGTTGCGTGGCTTCCCCAGGTAGCCCGCCTGGCCACGGAAGTTGTCGTAGTTGCCTCTTCCTCCTCCAAACTGGTTGGGGGGGTACGGAGGTCCAGCTGAGGAGACAGGAGTCGGTTAACATCCAAAATGGAAGATATAAAAGAAACACTGAAATAA